TTTCCCTGTCCTTGTTCCTCTCTTGCAGGGCAGCCCTGATCCCGGAGTGCTAAATGCTGATGAAGAAAGTCAGAACAAGTACCAGAAAGCAAATGACAGCTTAAAAAATAAAAAGGGGTTGTTTTTCTTGCATTTTGGGTGATTAACCAATGGTTGATGCTGTATTTCAAAGAAAGGACAGGGAGAATGCAATCTGCCATTGCTGGAAGCCTTGACACCAAGATGGGCTGGCTTTCTGGAGAATATCTCCCAGGGAAAACCCGCTTTGAAGCTGACAGTGGTGCTGACTGTAAGGTTGTGAGTGGAGCAGTAGGAGAGAGCAGGGCAGAAACCCACTTATATCTAACAGCCTACCCAACCACCTACTTGAGAAAAATGCCCAAAACTTGTCTCACTTCATTCAATTGCAATGCTCCCACTGGTGATAATGATGGGCAGATGCATGCCTGGTCTGGTGCAAGTCCAAATATAACATATGCACAAGAAACTGCTAGATAAAAAAAAAACAACCCACCTTTCTTCAGTTTAGCTGATCAGGTCTGTGTTTTGTCTGGAGTTACTGAGTGAGAACATCTCTAATAGTGTTTTCAATGTCATGGCACCTCTTAGGTGTCACTGTTCTTGAGTCCGCCTCCACAGATTCATTTTTGACATCTTCCTCTGTTTCACCTCTTTTCTCAGACCTCCTCATTGATGATGTGGAAGCTGCTGTCCCCCTGCAAGGCAACTTCAACTTGGCACTGAATACCCAGCCTTGCCCTTCCTTTCCCACAAGGCAGATGTTCAGGCAAGACTATTCAAGGCACAAGGAGCTGGAAATTTGAAGCAAGACAGTCATATCCAGGTCACAGAGGCATTTGACAGAAAGGATGCAGAGGTCCTGATCACCACTGGCAATAACAATATGGGCTGCTTACTACGGTAACATTGCACCAAGGCTAAAATGGGGCACCAGGAGCTAAACATGGAGGGACTCATGACTTACTCTCAGGACCCTTGTATGTATTTTAATTTCACTTTGACAGAGATTTTCACCTTCAATTTTGTCCATAAGACCCAGAACAGACGTTTCCCTAAAGAGCCAGAAAGGAAGCCATCACACACTTCTTTCACAGTCATCACAGCCAAGAGTTACAACTTCAGCCTTGTGCAAACAGCACCAGGTGTGAAGTATCAGGCCTTGTTTTTACTCTTTTTCTCTGCTCACATTGAAAGAAAGCAGTGACATCAAAACTCTCTTCTTTGCAATCCATACAAAACATACAGCAGATATAGCCAGAAATCCATGGTGGCCATTTTGCCCAATGCACAAACTTAATTTAGCCAAAGTTTCTTCTTGTATATTTTGGGCTTGACTTTGCCAACAAAACATGAGCAATAACCAGGAGGAAACGGGGCAGGAAAGGCCTTTTACCCTCTGCAGCACTTGGTCATTGGACCTGCTTCTTACACAATGTGGGATTTTTGCTGTGTGGCTGCCAGCACCAGCCATGTCAGACCTTTGCCTTCCCAGTCAATGGCTTTGGTTGAGGTAAGTCATGATGTTTTGCTGAACCTGAGTGACCCAGGAGAGAAAGGACAGGAGGCTTTTCATCCAGGATGGGATTCCAGCTCCTGCAGAAGAGAAGTGTTCACCCAGCTGGGAAGAAAACAATCCAGGGAGAGGATAAGTTTATTATTAGGCTGTGTAAAAGTTAGCTACAAAATAAAGCCAGTTCCCAATAGCAATCGTTTCTAGTAAAAACCTTAGCCCATTCAAACTGGGCACTATTTTGGGGGGGGTGGGAGTTTGCTGTTTTACATCAGTAGAAGGATTGAAACACTTGGAAAGTTTTGTTGTAAGAAGTTGGAGAAACCAATTTCATCCCATGCCATCCCCAAGGGTCTCCTTAAAATAGCAACATTACAAAGGCTTCTTTCAGCACTGCATTCCTTCTTGATTCAATATGCACACGTCCATGGATGCAACCTGAAAGAAAACTAAAACAAAACTTAGTTGTCCGAACTGCCTTTGCCTTGATGAGGAAGAAACCTGGGACTTTATAACAGCCTTCCAATACCCAAACAGGACCTACAAGAAATCTGGAGAGGGACACTTTACAAGACCATGTAGTGTCAGGACAAGGGGGAATGGCTTTAAGCAGACAGAGGGGAGACTGAGATGAGATCTGAGGAAGAAGTTCTTCCCTGTGAGGGTGGTGAGGCCCTGGCACAGGTTACCCAGAGAAGCTGTGGCTACCCCATCCCTGGCAGTGTTCAAGGCCAGGTTGAACGGGGCTTGGAGCAACCTGGTCTAGTGGAAGGTGTCCCTGCCCACGGCAGGGGGTTGGAACTGGATGATCTTTAAGGTCTCTTCCAACCCAAACCATTCTGTGATTCTGTGACTGATCGGCTAAGGAGAATGTCCTTAGCATTAGTCACCTGGTGGGAAGACTTCCAGGCAGGGATCTCAGATACTTGAATGCATCATCCAAAACAAGAGCATGCATCTGGAAATGCAGAAAACATAATCTTGCCCTCAAAAGACTGTAGAGAGAGAAAGGATCCTCTTGTAACCAGGCCAGAGAGAATATACAGTGTTTGGGGATGGTGGGTGTTGAGAAAATCATTTTTCCTGGAGCACCTGCTAAAAAAAAAACCCTACAGCAGGAGAGCTATTTCTTGTCTGCCCTCTTATAAATCACAGTTTCCAAGAATGTCAAAGCCTAAAACTGCAGCTCCCAATTCTCTGCACCTCATGAGTCAGACAGCTCCTTTTTATGTAGGGAAAAGACTTAAGAGGTTGTTTTAGGGTCATGTGAATGGTGAAGATGATCACAAGTCCACCTCTGGTACAGGGAGTCCATGGACATGATTTATTATGACTTTAGAGGACAACCGTATGAACCACCAGTATAATCCTGCTCTTCAGCTGTGTCTTGCATTCCTGCTCTACCCAGATGATAGAGAAGAAGGTGACGAGTGGAACAGGGTGGCATCCAGGAGATGCTAGGAGACTTCTGTGGATCTGACCTCATTCACAGCAATGGCAAAAAATCTATGAGTGATGCTGAGCTGTGAACTAAGCTTTAATTCTTACAGTAGCATCTGAGAGAGGGATGGAGACGCAGGGCAGTACCTTGTCATTCTTCTCTTTTGCCTCGCTTCAAGTAGCCAGGAGGAGGATTACAGCTACTATCTGGGGAAACCCACCTGTAGACCAGGCTGCAGTGCCACCCCTCCAAAGAATAGCTCTGGCCCTCACACCTCCCATCCTCTCAGAAAGGAACAGGCAGGGAAAAATGAATTATACCCTGACTGATGTACCTGGCAGGGGGCTGTCTTTGGATCTAGGGAGTGCTGAGGTGGGAGTTTATTTTGCTTGTAGATAAAGGGAATGCGGGAAAACATTCCTCGTAGCCTTTGTGACCATGAGAGCAAGATGTGGCCACAGTCAGATTTCTCTGCCATGCTTCTTGGGCAACCTTTAAACACAAAAATTTCCCCTTGTGCAGCTTCAGCAGTTAGGTAGTAGTCTGCCTTTAATCATTCAATTAATAAATACCAGCCCTGAGGCATCCGCAGTCCAGTCCCATACTCCGTACATGAGGGACCATATAGAGGTAGGGGACGATAATCTGGATGTAGACATTCCCTAAACCTTATCACCACCTCCTCCTCCTGGTAGCAGCAGGAGGTGAGGGCATTCTAATGCACAAGGCTTTTGCCTGCTTCTCTGTCTCTCCAAGAGAAAAAAACAGCAAGGGAGGTGCAATGGGGTCCCTGAAACTTTGCAGTGATTCTTTTTCCTCCTTCTCAGAATGACTATAGAGCCCTGAGTACATATTTGCTCGGTCCACCCCACACTTAAGCACACAGAAGGCTTCCCTGGGGACACGGGCTCTCCTCCCATTCCATCCCCCAGGTTGGGAACACTGGGCTGACATGAGCCATACCCATACCCAAGAAACAAACCCCAGAAGAGCTGGAAATACTTGCCTGGAGATTCCCCAAGGAATCCCTCTCAAACCAGTACACACCCCCCACCCATTCTTTAACCCCTCTCCCCAGTAAGTATCATTGTAATATATTCCATGCTGCAAGAGCTTGAAAAACATATTTGGGAGATGTGAATGGGGTGGGGTGGGATGGCTTTATTGCTTTTAAATCTCCCTCTTTCATCATCCCAATACTCAACTCTCCCCTCCATGTCTCTCCCTTTCTTCTTTCCCTCCTTTCTCTATCCCCATCTTCCCCCCTTCCCCGCATCCTCTCCCTAGCTAGAGGCCTGTGTCCCCCGACAGCCGCAGGGAAGGGGATGGGACAGGAATGGGCCGGAGTGAGATGGGTGGGAGGGATGCAGGACTGACCCCGTACTTCCCAGTCCTGGCACCACCAACCAATGGGGGCCCGGCCGAGGGGGTGTTACACCGGCCCCGCTCCTCCCGCAACCGGGGAGACCCGCCGGGGCTGGCGGGCAGAGGCAGAGGAGGAGGAGGAGGAAGAGGTGGAGGAAAAGATTGCATCAAGAGCAGAACTTCCCTCCCCGTCACCCCCCCTTACAGGAAGCCCTACTCTACCTTCGCCTTGGAAAGAGCCCCTTTTCATAAAATTAGCTGAAGGCACCTATTCACAGCCATGGGGCGGTGAGAAAAAAAAAAAAAAAAAAAGAGGGAGGGAAAAAAAAAAAAAAAAGCAAGCAACAAACGAACTGTAGAGTTTGGTTGTGGAGGGTTTTTTTTCCCTCTTTCTTTTTTTTTCTCTGCTCCAAAAAATAAGACAGAAATGCACACAGCTCCACTCTGCGAAAACTTGATGTTTTTACCGTCTGCTCTCTGACAGACCTAGAGAGGAGGTTGGCGCGCTTTTTTCTTTATTATTATTTTTTCTTTCTTTTCCCTCCCTTGCCTCCGTTCAGCTCCTCTAAAAGAACCGCTGCTTCTGCGCGGAAAAATACACCGGAAAATCACCAAACCACGGAGGAGAAAAAAAAAGAAAATGCAAGGGGGGAGGAGGGAGGGACACAAAAAGAAGATAAAGCAAGAAAAATTAAGGGGGAGGGGAAGAAAAAAAACTAAAACACCACCACGACTCGATTTCCAAAGTTCCCCAAGGAGCCAGTCCGGAGCGCAGAGCCCCGTGTCCGCCTGCGTGTGTGTCTGCTCGCGTGCTGCATCCGTGTGATTTCCAGCCCACTCCCCTCTTCGGTTCTCCTCCCACGTCTTAAAAATGATAAGGGGATGGTTGCTGTAGCTTGCTTTCGGCTCTTGAACAAAACCTCTGGCTGCTTGGCTTTGGGGAGATTGGGGAGGGAGGGGGGGGCGTTACTACACACATAAATCTTTTTTTTTCCTTTCTTCTTAGTTTTATGAATGAAACCGGCCGGCTGAGCTGGGAGTAACATCCCTGCCCTGAAACTCCTCAAAAGTGGTGAAATCCAGGCGGGTAGCAGCGGATGAAAGGGGAGGCAGCGGAGCGGCGGCTCCCCCGGGTACTGGAGGGGGCTCGGCAGCGACACGATCCCCGTCCGGGTAGACCCGAGAGAGCCGCGAGAGGCTGCGGGCTCCTCTGCCAGGTTTCTGAGGGCTTGTCCTGGGCATGGGACGGAGGACGCGGGTGCGCGAGTAGAGAATGTATATATATATATATATATATATATATACATATAAAACACAATAACAATAATAATAAAACAAAAACCCGAGGATTTCAGAATATTTCGCGAAGTGAAAAGAGTTTCTGCCGAGGGAAGAAAAAAAAAAACAAAACTAAAATAAACTACTTAAAGGGGGTGGCGAAGGAGGGGGAGCGATATTTCAGCCCCGTGCTTTCATGCCGTACTCAATCGGCTTTTTGAAACTGCAGATCCTTTGAGACAGAGAAGGGAGAGAGAAGCAAAAAAATAAACCACCCCTATTCGTAACTAAAACGCAGTGCAACCTTGAAGGCTGGCAGAATAAACCTATTGTGGAGCTGAAACGCGCCGGGATATGCAAGGAAAAAGCCCCCAGAGTACCACTGTTTGCGAAAAGGTAATTGCTAAGTGAAAATATTTCCAAGTTTTTGCTTTTTGTAACTTTCGACTTTGCCGTTTGTTTGCATGCCGAAAACAAAAAAAAAGAGGCGAAAGAAAAAAGAACAACAAAGCGCTTTCCCCTCCGCGCACACCCCCAAACCCCTCTGAAACTAAAAGATAAAATTACTGGATCTAAAAATAAAGCAGTGGTTAAAAGCCTCCCCCACCCTCTCCAATCTCCCACCCCTTCCACCCCTCTCTCGCCTTCTCCCTCCCTCCCTCCCTCTCTCTCCCTCTTTCTGTGTGTTTGCGTTTGACAAAGAAATTATTTGAACTTCCCACTGCCTCATAAAAAGGAAACAGAAGAGCAGTTTTGACATATGGATGTGATTTTTTCTGCTACGAGACAGATGCACACGGAAAACAAACAGCACCAGGGGCTGCAGCTCTGAAGGGAGCGAAGTTGCTCTGCTTCACATGGGCTCCTCGGCTGCGTTTCGGGAGCTGCCCAGATCTCCAGCCATGAGAAAACGGAGCAAAAGACCGGGGTTTCTTGTCATGTGCCTTTCTGGCTAAAACTGTGGAAACAAACAAACAATCAAACAACACACAAATTCTGGAAGGGGGGGCGGGAGGGAAGGAGAAGGAGAAATCATCTGCAACGCTGGAAGACCTCTCGTCCTCCTACTTCCCTGAGCAAGCTTGGATGCTGGAAGAAGCCTCTTGGATATGGGATCATATCTGGTTTATCACAGTCTGGGTTTGATCCTCTGCTGCTCCGTCTTGAGTTCAGTCTACGCTCTGGTGAGTCCCTCAATCTTTCCCTTTCATATTCTTGAACGATCTTGCACGGCTGTTTCCTTGATGAGTAATTTACTGTATCAAGCATTTAGAAGGCAGAGTGCTGGGTTTGCTTTTTTATTTTTTTCAGCCCTGTGGCTTATTTCGCTGGCAGATAGTGTGTGCAGTTGGTCTCAGAGTTGCTCCACCAGATGAAATGAAAACGTCTGTATGTCTGTGTTTCCAAAAGAGTTTGAATCACTTTTAAACCGCTCCGGACAGGAACGCGTGCAGTTTGACAGGAGTCTGGGGACAGCATTTAGGGGATCATTTAAAAGGCACCTACGGGTAAAGGGCAACTTTTCCTTTCCTTTTCTTTTTTTCTTTTGTATTTTCTTCCCTTTTTTTTCTTTTTTTTCATTCACCACCCCTCTCCAAGACACCAACTTTAATTTTAATTCAATCTTCTTAATCTGCAAATCTGCTTAATCTCAGCGAAACAGTACCTTCCTCTTTGGGATTAAATTTGGAGAGGACCTTACAGTGCAGGGCTTGCAGACAGTTTACACTCAGGAGCATGAAAGTAGTATTAACCCTTTAGTACTTGTCACTGTTTTCACCTGTTCCTGCATACACTAGGAGACAATATTTTTCCAGAGGTAGCAAAGGGCTGAAGTCTGTCAAAAATGCCTTGATGCTAGCAGTGAAGAATGGGCTAAGAGCTACAGACCCCCTCTGCAGCCCAGAGTGGTCTCCAAAGCCTTTCTGCAGAAGTGAAGGGAAATGTCATATGGAATTGGCCACCACATATTAACCCACAGATGGGCATGCTGCTCTGACACGTGCTTTCCTTGCTTTATCCATCCCTGGAAACACATCTGTTGTTACGATTTCTCAGTGCCTTCTGGTGTAGGAAGGGGCATGACCACCACCTAAAGAGTTGTCTGCTTTCCACGAGGGATGGAGATGCGTTTGGAAGAGAGTAGGCTCACCCTGACCCTGGCTACATCCAGGTCTTCCCTGACCCTCCAGGAACCATCACCCTGGGCACTGTCCCCTGGGTTTGTGACCTTGTGCAGGGCTGTTAGGGAGGTATTGCGACCATACACCCAGCATCATGCTAGAGGGAAACATCTCACCAATAAATAAGAAACAGCCCCTTGGAAAACAATCGTTGTTGCAGTCCATCCTTGCCTCGCTGTATTTCTAAGCACAAATAAACCTTGCAAAACCCAAAGAAAATCGGGGAAACTGGGATGACCACTTGTAGATTTGTTTTTAGTGCATTTGAGGTTTTTCCCCTGTTCTGGGGTGGGATTAACATCTCCATGACCACATCTGAATCTGGGGATGTATCATGACAGTGTGAGTCCTGCAGCACCTGCTACCTCCACCTCCACAGCCCTACTGCCGCTGAAGTCATCACCAAAATTCCTGCTAGACTTGGTGTCTTTGTTGGTAATGGTGAAAATCAGGTTCATGAAACAGATTAGAGCTTGGCAAACTTTAGGACCCAGAAAAGACAGGCAAGGCTTCAGAGTGCGTCACCAGTCCCATTCCCAGTTTACTCCTCTCTCTCAGTACATCCCAGTACCTCCAAGAGGGTGCTGAGGAACAGCCAGTGAACCAAACATCATCCATCGCATGTTCCCAGTGGCTATTTTATTTTTGACAGCCCCCTCACAACAGACACTTTCAGATCACAAGCCATTGGCTCAGCAGCACTGGTAGGCAACTGGGTCACAGCTGAACGTGAGATGGACCTGGGCATAATTCTAGAATAGAACCATAGAATCGCAGAGGGACAAGAAAGCAGGGGACTTCACTGGGAAGGCTAGGCAAGGAATGCACAAGAGTTATTTGCCCTTTTGCATTTCCAAAATCCTAATACACTCCTGTACTGGTATAGGGTCCTGCCGCAAGAAACCCCATTCAGTTTAATAAGGCCCAGACTGAAGTGCATGTTTCAGACACTTCCTATGCTTTTCAAACTCAGTACTGACAGCTAAAAGACTTGCCAAAAGGTTTGAAAAGTTGTCCTGACAATTCAGGGGCTGAAATGTTGTGTGTTCCTTTTGGCATCCCCTTAAGCAGAATGAGTAGTTCAGCCCCAAGTCACCCCACTATACACCCACTTGTGAGGCAAGGAATAACTTGCAGGGTACCTAGAGCCCTGTTTATTTTTGCTGTAGTTGTTTCTTTCCCAAATTAACTTGATTTTTAAATGAACTCCGAAAACACTGAATGGTGTTGACTGCATATTTCAGCAAGGTGATGTCTTGATAGCTACAGTATAAGAAGGATCATATATATACTTGATATTTTGCTGAGTGTGTTTTATGTGCTGCTATCAACAGAAGTCACCAAGTGCCTCATTCTTAGAAGCAACAAGCAAAAATCAATGAGAGTAGCTGCAGAACGATGGGGATGCAGGGACTTAATTTAGAGACAGGCTCTGTGGCAGTTTTGGGCTAAGCTAAAAGTGGTACCCAATCATTCACTCCCCCAGCAAAGCAAAGCAAAGCTATGTTGTGAGTTTGAGTCAGGAGGATTTCCGCAGACTGAGGCAGGCACTGCTCAGAGCTTCAGGGCACAATTCACATGTCTGAGGCTGGAAGACTTTGAGTCTTGAGAACGGTGGCCCTAATTGCTGGGGTCTTTGCAGCTCGGTTGTTTTGCACTTGAGAGTTGGTGATGCCGAGATCGGGCAGAGAATTATGCATCCCAGACCTGAAGCTTTCACTCTCATTATGCCTTTTGTTTGCCAGCAAAGATGATAGTAAAGGAACTTTCCAAAGCAAAAATGCTGAAGTAGGGCTTGGAAATGGTTTCTTTGATTGCCTGTGCCACTGATACATCACGGGGCAGGATGCTGGGACTGAATCACTTCTCCACAGCATGCAGGCTGCGTGTCTCTACATTCACTGTAAACCGGGGTGGGGGAAAAAATGCTACGGGAATGAGTCCTCAGAGTTAAAAATGTCTGCAGAAATGGTGGCCCCCTCCATGAGCCTGCGGCCACACAAAATCCATACCGAGATCAAGATCTCTGCCTTGAGCTGTTGAGGGGCAGCTGAGAGGCACAGATGGCTGTCTTTGATGTGAGGAGAAGTACTGGGTGAAGATCTGCTCTCCCCTAACTACCCAGAGAATTGCCATGTGGAGAACATGATTAACACCTGCTTGAACAGTGAGGGGAATTTCACCTATCAGTTGAGTGTTTTGAACCTGAAATCTTGTGAGGTGAGGGTGTAAATTTGGGTTAATTCTGCTGTTTGGTCCAAGGGCTGGGGAAGCAGAATTGCCCTGAGCCAGATAGTCCTGTAAATATGGGCTTGAAAATACGATGTGTGCAAAAGGAGCTTTAAAAGTATGGTTTGACATCAGCAGAGCACGGGAGAAGTTAACATGTAGGCACTATGATTTTATCAGAAAGGTGCTGTCTTGCAGAGAAACCTCCCTGTGTCCCAGCCCCACTCCCAGGCAAAACCTCCATGGTTTGGTCTGCTGATGCCTTCGGTTTTCACTTTGTTTCCTTTCGTTGCCCTTCTCAGCCTGGCAGTGCACAACCCAGCAGTCATTAGGGAAGGTATTCTGCATAACAATGATGACAATGAGGACAGTGATGATGACAATGACGATTATGATGATAATCATCGTCCACAACTCATCTGCAGAGCCTTGGCTCAGAATAGCTCCTTTTTGGGAAACAGGTATGATGAGCCTGAGCCGGCTGTGTGTGGGTCTTACTTCTCAGCAGTGCTCAGTGCCTTGTAGAAGGTGCTGCGCATTAGGGGGTTGCTTTTTGGCAGCAGAACGGTCTCAACGCCTTTCTGTTTGCTGCAGCCTGTGGTTCCCCAGCCCTGGCCCCACTCGGGCTGCTTGGGCAAAGCTGAAGCTTCCCTCCAGTTTTGCAGAGAAGCTGTAGCACTCTCCCAGAGATTCAAGGGGTATCATTAGGGGATTCGAAACCTTTTCTTGCAGATAAAACCCAAATAAAATACAAGCTCAGCCAGGTCACCTGGAGGAAGCTCCCAGCCTCTATTCCCAAGGAAGCTGCATCCATACAAGCATTGGTGTTAATCTCTGCTAGGAAAGTCCAGAATAAATCAAAAAGTTCATGTCAGAGTGATACTTAGATCACTAACTAGCCAAGAACCCAGTGCTCAGGCAGCAAAGCAGCTACATTAAGGAGGTGCTGGTCAGTGTTTCACTCTTTCACTTGTTTCTTGTTCCTTTGATCAGACCCACATCTTCATAGATCAGGAAAAGAGAAGGATTTGAAGTTAAATAATTCATGTCTGGAAGGGAAAGAGAATCATATTCTGATGCAGAATATGTCCCATAATAAAAAAGAATAATATTAATAAAATAATGCTATATAGAGAACCTGCAAATCCCAACTAGCTACCTAACTTCATTAACTAAGGACAGGTTCCAAGTGCAGGGAAACAATGTCTGAAATTTTCATTTCTCCACACACACTTGGGAGCATGCCCATCCCTACCCCGTGTATTTATGAAAGATACCATTTTTGTTATTGTACTTTGGGATTAGCAGATATCCCCTGACTATAAAATACTCAACCACAAAATATAAAGCAAACAAGCGTCTGCGTCAGGGTCATGCATGGGCTGTGATTTCATCCAGCGCAGGCCAAAAAAAGTTCAGCTGCCTGATGGCAAGTCTGACCTGAGCAGGCTGGGTTTGGTGTGAGCATCTCACCTTGGGAAGAGGAAAAGCAACTGGGCAACTGTGCACACAGGGGTGTCAAGGCTGAAGGAAATGAAATCCGAAGTGTGCCTTTCAGGTCCAGGCAGTTGTTGTTTGGTTTCTGGCCTCCTAGAAACAGCCCCGGGGTGGTGCTTTGAGATCAGTGGGATTATTCCGGCTGGGGTGGTGTGTCTGGAGTCTCTGAGAGGGGTACTCCCAGCCCAGACAGCTCAAGCAGAGACAGCTGCTGCCCTGCCACTGTCACCCTGCACTCCCATGTCCCTTTGAAAAACGATGCTGAGAGTCATCCC